TCGACACGTTGGTCACATGTCTGCTTATTATCCACACGCACGCTGCATTTGTGAAACTCCTAGCTCAAATGATTAAGCTTAGGGTTCACCACCTTGATTATCCGATTAAGTCAATTCGACTGGATACTGTTGGAGAGTTTACGTCATAGACTTTTGATGATTATTGCATGTAAGTTGGGATTGATGTTGAACATCTTGTACCCCATGTTCACACCCAAAACGGCCTGGCAAAAGCTTTCATAAAGCGCATTCAAACGAAAGCTCGGACTTTGGTTATGCGAATCGAATTGTCAGTAAACGCCTGGGGTTTGCAATATTGTACGCAACTATGTAGATCCGCCTGAGGCATATCGCTACCTAACCTCATTCACCATTACAGTTGGTTATAAGATACGAGTTTGACATCTCGCATTTACATGTGTTTGCGCAGTCTATATGCCAATAGGGCCGCCACTAAGTACCAAAATGGGTCCTCAAAGAAGAATAAGAATTTATGTCAGTTATGAGACCAAACCCAAGCCTGGGCTAAGTGCTATTTTTTAGGTTTTATCACCCCCTCCCCCAAACCCAACCCATGCTAAATGTGTGGGCTAAAAGTTAAAAGCCAAACAAAAGCCAAATCCCACCCCCCCCCCCGCGCGCGCGCGCGCGCGCGCAAGAAATTAGCCCAAATGCAAGTGAACTCGCTAGAAACAAGCCTAGTCGTAGCCCGCCCACTCACCCCAATTCCCCCACGTGGCATCAAGCCTTCAGCGCTCGACATGGGGGGGCCCACTGTCAGGGCAGCTGTTGGCCACCTGCATGAGCCCAACAACTTTAATTTGCATCGGATGTCTGATATATTTGGATCGTTGGTTGATCCAACAGTCCAGATTCAAATTTTGTTTTATATAAAAAAAATGTAATTTTAAAATACGTTGAATCCAACAACTGAAATCGAATATAATCAAATCTAACAGTAAAAAAAAAAAAAAAAAAAAAAAGTCTAATGGTTGAAATTTAAATCCAACAGCTAAAATAATTAAAAAAAATTATTTAACTCAAATTTCACCCAAAAACTCTATAAATACCTATCTATTTGTTTAAACATCCACACAAAACTCACTTTTCTCCTACAATTCTTCCAATTTTTCTTTCTACCATTTCTTCCCATTTCTAAATGTTTCAAGATGGCAAGAGAGCATATTAGAGGTCATAATTGGACTTGTGAGGAAGATGTTGCTTTATGCTTGGCATGAGTTTCTATTATCAATTTAGTGATTTTTCAATATTTATCAGAATTTAAATATTATTAGATTAAAGTGTTCATAAAATTAATTTACAATAGTCTACATATATTTTTTTTAAGTTAATTTAAGAAAAAAATTAGTCTAAGTTCATTCTTTAATAATTTGGGGCTAAAATTTTCGACTAGAAGGATTAGAGCAGAAAAGTTGTTTCTGGGCTAAAAATTTTAGGTTTTAGCCCAAAGGTTGGAGATGGTCTAATTCCCCATAAATTATTCACTACTTAGAGCCCTTGACAAGAGATCTCTTTACCGCACGTTTTGCAGATCGTCAATTTGATGAGACAGTCTCCCCGTCATTACAGGGAGATAAGATCACTAACGTTCCTATAGAATGCCGCGAATTATCATGGATTACTCCCACTTTGTGTCATTTAGATCCCTGCATTACGCAGTCTGAAATTGAAGTGCGATGTATTCTAGATCTTCATATCATTGCTCAATGCATGTTGGATGTTTTTATTGATCTAGCAAAGGTGACGAGATTACATATAACCCCTACAAATGTACCTGCAAGGATGCACGTACTTGACATACGCTATAACATCACCTTGGAAGGCCGGATCGTCCTCGAGGGTAGGGCGGCCGCACCTCCCACACGACCCGGTAGACTAGCGGCAAGCCAATCATCTGCTCCTACCCTGAAGCATGGCAGACCCCCTAGTTCAATGAATTCACAACCCCGGAAGAGGAAAACAGCACAAACTAGTAAACCTAGTCTAAATCCGGCCACCACTTACTCATCTATTCCAACGCATGAAGTTATTCTAGATTACGGTGATGTCTTAGACGAAACAAACCGGCCTCCGAAGAATCGCGAGATTTTGGTCCATTACGTAGTATTGGATGAGGTTTGGAATCAGAATAAGATGATTGTTGATGATGCATTTGCACATACTGTTGTTACCGACATCATGCTTAGCAATGACATTGAACCACGTTCCGTTGATGAATATCGACGTATAACCAATTGATTCAACTGGAACCAAGCAATCTAGGTCAAACTCAATTTACTTGCAAAAATTAAGATGTTTGGGCCTTTAGCTCATACTTCACAACATGTGAAGCCCGTGGGCTACAAGTGGGTTTTCATGAGGAGGTGTATTGAGAAGAATGAAATAGTGCGATACAAAGCACGCCTCATAGCGCAAGGCCATTCTTAACGCCCTGGGGTTGATTACGAGTGAGACGTATTCCCTTGTAATGGACGTCATAATGTTCGGCTACCTTATCAATTTGGTAGTTTCGGAAAAACTGAATATGCAGCTTATGGACGTGGTAACCGCATATCTCTATGGAGATCTAAATACGGAAATGTACATGAAAGTTCCAAAATGACTTCCATTGACTGGTTCAAATAGTTCTAGACCATGGAACACCTTCTCGATTAGATTGAAGAGATCACTCTATAGATTGAAACAATCCGGGCGAATGTGGTATAACCGTTTGAGTGAATATTTGACAAATCAAGGTTATGGGAACAACGAACTATGCCTATGCGTATTCATTAAGAAGTCATATTTCAGATTTGTGATTGTTGTAGTTTATGTCGACGACATGAACCTCATTGAAACTCCCACAGAGCTTCAGGAAACTGCCGTTCACTTGAAATCAGAATTTGAGATGAAGGATATTGGGAAAACTCGATATTGTCTCGACTTGGAGATCAAACACTATTTGAATGGAATCTTAGTACATCAATCGAACTACACCAAAAAGGTGTTACGACGTTTTAATGAGGATAAAGCGAAGCCTTCGAATACTCTTATGGTCATTCGGACTCTAGATGCTAAACGAGATCCTTTCTGTCCCAAGGAAGATAAAGAAGAGATTTTGGAGCCTGAAGTTCCATACCTAAGTGCAATTGGTGCTTTATTGTACTTGGCTCAATGCGCCAGACTTGACATCTCCTTTACTGTTAATCTTTTGGCTAGATATAGCAGCGCGTCTACACGCAGACACTGGAATGGTGTTAAAGATATTTTCTGCTACCTCAAGGGTACTACAAATTTGGGCTTGTTCTACACCCATAAATCCTCGAAAGGAGCTGTCGTCCCCTATCTATCCTCAGGTTGATTCTTGCCTTGTTAGTTATGTAAATGTTGGTTATCTGTCTGACCCACATAAGGATGTCTTTATTGGAGACACCGCAATATCTTGGAGGTCTACCAAGCAAAAGGTAGTTGCAACTTCTTCAAACCATGTTGAGATTCTCACCTTGCATGAAGCCTCGCATGAGTGATTTTGGTTGAGAGCAACCATGAAACACATTCGAAACACTAGTGATCTTACTTCCATCATTGACCTTCCTATGACGATCTTTGAAGACAATGCAGCTTGTATCGAGCGGTTAAAGAAGGGATACATCAAGGGAGATAACATCAAGCGTATAGCGCCAAAATTCTTTTATTTTTACCAGCAACAACAACATCAAAACATTGAAGTCAAGCAAATTCATTCCTAGGACAACCTAGCCGATCTCTTCACCAAGTTATTGCCCAATTCTACTTTTTAGAAGCTCGTCCAAGGAATCGGTATGCATAAATTATCTGAGTGGAATTGCTTGTAGTTCTCTTATTTCGAAGTTATGTCTAACTCGGGGAGAGTATCCTGAAGCATACTCACTTGATCTTAATGTACTTCTTTTCCTACAATTATGAGCATTTTTCCCATTGGATTTTTGCTACCTAACGAGGTTTTGATGAGGCACCCATTCTAGGATGATCATACTCTATTAAGTTAACTACTTTCGTCCCGTTTGACGTTTGTTTTAGACATTATGCATTCTTCTCACTTTTCTCCTTAGTCTTTAGGTTTTTACCTGCCTTAGGTTTTAGCATAGTGAGGTTTTGTGAGTTTTACTACCAATGCATACTTTCTTTAAATTTTAGACTCGCATTTGCCCGTTATGTTGATGACTTCATCAATTGTTCTACCTCAACTGCTGAAGACTTGATGCGAAGTTTTGTTTGAGTATTTACACACTCAAAGGGGAGTGTTGCAGTCCTATTAGATTAGGATTGTGATTGTGTAAATCCTAGTGTATCTAGAGATTTATTGGAATATTCTCTTTAGTAGATATTATCCTATTAGAGTTGTAATCTTATGAGGGTAAGAATTTAACCTATCCTACTACTATAAATAAAGGTACAGTTGGATGATACAACATACATCTCAGAATTACATCTCTCTCTCTTGCCACCGACCCTCTCCTTCTCTAGTCCTAAATACAGTTCAGTAAATTAGGTCTACAACAATTTACCATTTTTTGTTTCTATATATGTTTGTTTGATCACTCAGTGTATCAATTCACGTATTATAATAAGACTTTTGATCACTTAGTATATCAATTCACATTAAACGACACAATATTCATGTCGCCACTTCTAAATATATTAATAAAAATGTATATGCTATAAATTGAGTTAAATAGTAAGGCCACATAACTATGTTTCAGATTATCAGGAAAATTTACTTCGAGTTCTCATCTTGGTTGGCCATCTTGACAAATAATACCCTTATATTTAATTACGAGAAATTAATCGGAGAAACGGTCAAAACCGTTAATCTTTTCGTAGAGTGCTACATCATGTAAGTACATAGATAATTATTGTAATGAAAACAACAAGTTGAAAGAAAAAAAAAAACGAAATTAGATATTAATTTGTCCTTGAACCTCGATGCATTAACCCAATGAATTGTGGAGTATTCATAATTATAGCTTCTTATGTAATTTGAATCGAGTTGAGAAGAAGACATCTCTCACCCAAAGAGGAGACCAAGAAAGCACAGCAAACAAACCAGTCATGTGACCAAAACTAATAACCTTTGGTGGTCTGGGACTCAAAATTTTCTGTGCAACATGCCTAGCAAACACACTACCATCCGTTGCTTTGCTTCCTTGAGAAGCCCTGGCTCTCTCAGCAATAGCCTCCTTGAACTCCTTATATAGTTTCCAATCCTGACCGCCCAACCTCTCTACATTTGCACTCCCAAAATTTGATCTAACGGCCCCAGGCATAACCAGCACAACATCAATACCAAACGGCTTCAGTTCAACCCTCAAAGTATTTGACATTGCATGCACTGCTGCCTTGCTTGCACAATAAGACCCTGCCCATGGTGTTGGCACTTTGCCCACAACGCTTCCGATATTTACGATGCTGCCTCTGCGCTGTGATGCCATGTATGGCACCACTTGTTGTACAAGTCTCAGTTGCCCAAGCGTGTTAATCTCCCAAGCCCTTCTTATAGTCTCTAACGGAAGCTCGGCGAGAGGTCCGGTGCTTCCTATTCCGGCATTATTAACAAGAACGTCGATGCGGCCGTACTTGGAAATAATCGTCTTTACGGCCAATGCGACACTTTCGTCCGAAGACACATCAAGCTCAAGTGTGTCAATGTATTCTGAAGGACTTAAGTCTATGTCGTTCATGCGGTGTGAGATGTCGGTGGCAAAGACGCGGCATTTCTGCTCGGCGAAAGCCTTGCAGTACTCATAGCCAATGCCACCTTTGGCACAACCTGTGACTAGAACAACTTTAGAGTCAGAAGCACTCATGTTTCTTTGATTTCCCTTGTTATTGAATAATGGATTGGATTGCATAAACCTTATATAAGAAGGCATGCATGAACTGTGTTTATTGCGCCAAGATGTATAATTCTTGTTGCTAATTTTATTATATTGGCGCACTAGAATATACTCGAAGGAATATGTTATTTCAATCATAATCGGCCGGCTTTAAATGGACTTGTTTACAATGGTATTTATCGTGAATGAGGATGTCAAATTCTTGATTTGCATATGGTTACACATATAGCTCCAATAAACAATCGTAATCTATCATATCCAAATTTTAAATTACATAGGTTATTGTATGGGCTTGAAATTCAAAATTTGAGCCGAGAAGAGATGAGGTCCAAAAAATTGTAAAAAAAAAAAAAATCTAGTGAAACAAAAAGGAAGGAACAAAGTGCAACTATGGGGCAGGCAGCTTCTCGATTATAACTCAGACGACAATGTTAAATTGTACAGTCCAATTCGAAAGTGAAACAATTTACAAAGAGCTGTGGGATTGCTTCCTTGACCTAAATATTAGTGAAGTTTTGGAAGATTTTCACACTTTCATTTTAACAAGAAAATAAAAATTAACATATATAAAAATAAATGAAGAATATGTACATACAAAATAAGAGTGTAAAAATCGGTAGACTTATCACAAATATTATTGGTGATGGGTTGTTGGAATTGGTGGCTAAGGGAACCATATTGGTATCGGTGACGGGTAGTTTCACTAGAGTTGTGCGTGTGTATATATAAATGTAAAGTTAAGGTCTATGCACATGTTACTACACATTTTATTCTTCTTCTTTCCAGCCACCACGACAACGACATCAAGAACTTATTGAGGTTTAATGAGTATTTTAGTTTAGTGTTTGTAGTTGCTTATGATTAATAAGAAGGTTTACATATAAAGATCTCTTTCTAAAAGATGTTTTAGTACGTCCAACCGAATCTCACATTTATCATGTAGATAAAATCACAAATGAGTGTGGTTGATACAAAATAACAAAAAAGTTCAGTTTATTTGTGAATGGTCGTGCATACATGCTATCTGTCCATCAGAATAAACTTCTTTAATGTGAACTAGCAATGCTAATAATTATTTAGTCCTTTATGGTAAGTTTAGAGTAGTGAAAGAAATGATGCACATCACCAAGGAAGGGGACGTTGTGGTATTTGGCATATGAAAACGTGAAGTCGAAACAAAATCTAAATAAGATTTGCAGAGAAATGGCCAAAAGGTCAGGGGTCAAAAGGAAAAAAAGTATAAATGGATAGCAACCGAACTGAAAGCGACCAGAGGAGAGGAAAGGAGAGGAGAGAGGTGTGTGTGTGTGCAATTTACCTATGCATGGGGACTAAAACCAAAAGCTCTCTGCCCTCTTTGCCATTTCGAGAGCAAGACAATACCCTTCTCACCGTTTAAGTGCCCCTCCTAAAGTCCTTCTCCATTAACCAATCCCATTTCTCTGCAAATCTTCAAACCCCTATTACTCTCTCTCTCTCTCTCTCTCTCTCTCTCTCTCTCTCTCTCTCTCTCACCCATACAGACACAGACACACGGAAAACTGTGTCATGTCACATTCAAAGATTAAGATTCTCTCTCTCTCTCTCTCTCTACAGCTACTTGTATAACTGCAAAATCTAGAAGCCAGAGCTGCTGCTACAAATTTCCTTCACATTTTATTGATTGATTAGGTTTTGGTATTATATATGCCTAAAGATTTATTCTTCTGCTAGATTTGGGTGGGAAAAAAAGGCTGAGTCTAGCATAAGACTCATAGATCTTCTGGGCCTCCCTCCTAATTAGGAGAGCAGGAGGTGACCCATTGACCCAACTAGATTTAATCCACTCATAGTAGAGGAAAATCCCTACATATACAAGGAAGAAAGTGAGTTAACGTGTATTAAAAGCCATTCTAATTCGATCACTATTCTAATTCGATCACTACGATTCTCACATTCCCGGCCTCCGGCGCCCTGGGGGGCGGGGGAGAGGGGGGTTTGTGTGTGTGTGTGTAGACTCTTTATGCGGGATCTCCATTTTTTTTCCAAGAAATGGGGATTAGATATGAGGCCCATTCTATATCGAACTTCAACGATCTTAACCGTTTAATTTGTAAGTCTCGATTCATAGATCATCTTTGTAAAAATTCAATTCAATCCAAAATCATTTGCCTATTTAATTATCAAAATAAAATTTCATTGTTTCTTATATAACAAAATATTCGTTAATTTTTTTAAACCCAATTACATGTCTTAGATATTTCCAATTTCGCTAATATTTTGCAAGAATGATCTATGAGGTGCAACTTGAAAATTAGATAGTTAAAATTCGATGTCGTGTAGATCCCGCAACTAATCTCCATTTTTATTAAAAAAAAAGGGAATTCATTCCCTTAAAGACGTCCTATATATATGGGTTTAAACGGTTTTTTTTTTTATTATTGGGTTTAAACCTATTGGGATTGTAAGATAATCTCCAACCATCTCCAACTGAAGGGTCCAGAGGGCTAAAGGACCAAAAATAACCCGAAAACCATCTTCAACCAAGGATCAGGCCAAAAGACTCATGGGCCCCATTGGACAAAAAATGTCCAAAGGGCCAACCCAGCTAGCCCAGAGCTAAGCCACATGCTAACATCATAATTGTTTTTTTTTGTGGGCCAAGATCATTTAAAAAGTATTTAATTATAGACATTGAAAGGTGATTAGTTCAATGTTGGAATGATCCTTTTATAAGCATGTTTGCTTGCCAAAATCTCTCTGAGAACCGACGTGGGACAAATGATAAGAGTAGAGATTAACTCGTACCACTAGTGCCATTTTTTTTATATCACCACATCAATTGTGCATGCACGTGCACTTTGACCATGCATCAAGTTGGTCTCCAATATTTTCCATCACAGTAATAAGTAATTGGTTGTGAAGAATGTGAAGAATGTGAAGTGATTAATATTAATTTATGAGGATTGAGTGGGCCATGCATTAACAATTGATTAAACAAGAAAAATATTAGTTTTGGATAACATAGGCAATGATATAACAATATATGATTAAGTTGTTGTAAATTTTAAATTTAAATAATAAATTATGTTTGGTCATATGATCCTCAGTTGGAGATAGTAAGAAATATGGTCTTGCACTTTTCATTAAAATATTAATTTCTTGGAAGGCCAGAGGCTAAAACGAGCTATCTGGCCCTCCTTCGGTTGGAGATGGTCTAAGTAGGGTGTTTTTGTAAAGGAAAATCCATACCCTTTCACATTGGACATAAATTTAATAAGGACGTTATGATAGTGGTGTTTGACACGTATCACGCATTGTCATGTTTTTTTTTTATCTTTTAACACAATAACATCATATGATTTTGGTTTGTAACAACACCTTAACAATCCCTTTCAAATAAGTTTATTTTATTTTTTATTTTTTTATTTTTTTAGCAGAACCCTAAGCCCTATATAAGTCACAAGAGGCTGAATTTGGTTTCACTTTTACTTCTTTCTTAGAGCATCTTCACCTGCTAGTCAAGGGCAAAGACAATAAAATTGCCTTTATTATTCACTCTAAATAGTAATTGTCTTTGTACAAGTCTACCCATTTGTAAGCAAGAAAGACATGGACAAAGATGATTACTATTCACAAATATATTTTTTATTTTTTTAATGTTATCTTTGTCTTATCCCCACATGTCATTATTACTGTAGATTTTTGTTTACTTTTAAATGTTTAATTTGCAAGTGTGTTGAACTTTAGAAGACTTTTTAAGTGTGAACTTTATAAGTTTTTATTTTTATTTTTCAAATAATTTTCTTTAAAGTTTTAGAATTGGATTTATCGTGGTCGTTGAATTTTTCAATTTTTTGAAATAAGAGGCTCCACTAAGCTCAACGTAACAGCGTTGCAAAATTTTCAATTTTTTAAAACGTTGTGCGAAAATGGTGAGCAGGACAGGCCCCACAAGAGCTTGGTTATGAAGGAGAACTAGGGAAATGGATCATTTTCGGATCCCTTCCTCCTAATCTACCAAGTTCGGGGATCCAGACCATTAAAATTTGATTCAATGGCTAAAGTTATTATAACTTTTAAAGTGAGCCCCTGTTTGTAGCTATTTGATCAAATTTCAATAGCTCGTATCCTTAGACTTGGTGGATTAGGAGAAAGGGATATAGAAAGAATCTCTTTCCGAAAGCTGGGACACCATGAGGTGCCACGTGAAAAATGAAGGCTTTGGGCTTCAAGTAGGGCCCCCTTGTCTGCTCGGCTTCACGTGGGCTCAAGCCCTGGCTTCAGGAGGCAAAACAATTGCAAGGGCTCTTACGGCCATCTCCAATATAAGGCTGGCTAGAAGGCTCGTTTTAGCCCTTTGGCCCTCCAAGATATTAATATTTTAATGAATAGTACATGGTCATATTTGCCTTCAACTCCTACCGAGGGCTAAAAGGCTATAGGGCTCGTTTTAGCCCTGTCACAAAAAAACCGTCTCCAACCGAGGGCCAAAGGGTCATAGAGCCATACATAATTTATTATTTAAATTTAAAAACTACAACTGTCACATCCCGGCCCGGGGGGAACCACTTCTCGAGCCAGCTCCACCACCGTAGCATGATATTGTCCGTTTTGGGCCCCGACCACGCCCTCATGGTTTTGTTTCTGAGAACTCACACGAGAACATCCCAATGGTCACCCATCCTGGGAATGCCCTCGCGCGCTACTCACTTTACTTCGGAGTTCCTACGAAACTTGAAGCCAGTGAGCTCCCAAAAGGCCTCGTGCTAGGTAGGGATGAGAATATACATATAAAGATCACTTCACTGGACGATGTGGGATATCACAATCCACCCCCCTTAGGGGCCCGATGTCCTCGTCGGCACACCACAACCAAGGTTAGGCTCTGATACCAAATTGTCATATCCCGGCCCAAGGGGGACCACTTCCCCGGCCCGCTTCACCACCGTAGCACGATATTGTTCACTTTGGGCCCCGACCACGCCCTC